TTTTTTTTTTTTTTTTTTTTTTTTTTTTTTTTTTTGCTGCCTGGGACCTGAAATAGATTTGTTGGGAGAATGTGTGAGGAAAGCGTGATGTAGTTCAGCAGAAATGTCAGCTAAGCTGGCACCATTTGACGCATCGGTTTAGCTCCGAAAGCTGCGGCGGAATGCAGAACAAACAAACTGATGTTTATTTATTTATTCACATTTCTCTCTTGCACATGTGACAGTTGGTAGCCTCTTATTCTGGACAATTTTCTACATATTTATTTTCTTTGAGAAAAGGAAATTGCTTTAATTCGCCACTTTGTCCATCAAGCTCTTTTTTTATTTCTTAGTTGCTTTTAGAATGACAATCACAGTTACCATGGAAGCATCTGGAAACGGTTCTTTTGTACCTTTTTTTTTTTCACAGAAACACTTTATTTTGTCTTGTATGTTTGTTTCTGTTTTTCCTTTTCATACAATTATTAGTCGGGACTTGGTTTATGTATAACTCATAAATCCTTACAACAAACCAAACTTGATTGTGATCGTTTCCACAGTGGCAGGGAGAGACGCAGGAGTTTTGTCCCAATGCCAAAGTGGTTCTGGTGGGCTGTAAGCTGGACATGAGGACAGATGTCAACACCCTGAGGGAACTGTCCAAGCAGAGACTAATCCCCGTCACTCATGAGCAGGTGAGAACAAAACCAGAAACACACAGAGACGCTCTCACAGGAATGTTAGCTGAATTGTTGAAGTTAAAACTGATAAAATCAGCAAARCAATAGCTAAAATTTTAAATAATAAAAAAATGAGGCTAAAAGCTAAAGTTAGCAAAACTGTAGTGAAAAGATGAACTCAGCAAAATTGTTACAAAAACCCAAATTAGYAGCAACAAGCTAAAACTGGCAAATCTGTAGCTAAAAGCTAAATATTAAAGCAAAAGAGTAGCATAAACCAAACATTGGTAATAACACTGCTAAAAGCTAAAACTGTRGCCAAAAGCTAACAGCTGCACAACAGTAGCCAAAATACTAAAATTAGCAATACCACAACTAAGAACAAAAAATAACAAAACTGAGCCTGAAAACTAAAGTCAGCAAAATAGAAGACAAAAACTAAAACTAGCAAAACTGTAGCTAAAGGGTAAAATCAGCAACATTTTTTCACAAACCCAAATTAGTAGCACCAAGCTAAAACTGGAAAATTTGTAGCTATAAGCTAAAAATGAGCAAAACTGTGCCTTAAACCTAAAATCAGCTAAATTGTAGCCACAACATCCAATTAGCTAAAAACTAAAATCAGCAAGAGTAGCAAAAAAAAAAAAAAAAAAATGCCTCTCAGCAAGAAGGTCATCGGTTCAAATCCCGGTCTGGGGACCTTTCTGGGTAGAGTTTGCATGTGCTCTCCGTGCATGCGTGGGTTCTCTCCGGGTACTCCGGCTTCCTCCCACAGACCAAAAACATGACTGTTAGGTTAATTGATAACTCTAAATTGTCCCTAGGTGTGAGTGAGAGAGTGAATGGTTGTTTTGTTGAGGCTTTAGCAGTAACTTTGAGAACAATAGGTCAGAGTAGAGGTCACGAAAACATCTTGTGCAATATCCTGCAAAAGTTGAC